TGCGCCAGACAAGATTGCGGACTTCTATCGGAGATACCCGGGTAAACCACGGCACATCGCCTCAGCAACCTTCGACTCCTTGCCCTTTCGAACTATGCGTCGGGACGCCGCATTCAAAGGGGGGGGTGATGTCAGGGGAACCCCCGCTTCGGCCTCCTTCGGACCCTCCGAACGCATCCGAGGCGCATCCGATCGGCGCCCCCTCGGACGCTCCGACCCACCCCGACCATCGTCCTCGGCCTCCTTCGCCCGCACAATCACCGATCCGTCAAGACCCTCCCAACGATCACCTTGGGACAGAGCCTGCGACGCCGCTCAGGCCTTCTGCGCTCTACGTCGGCAGTTACGGACGACCAGTATATAGTTGGCACCCTAGCAGGCGGATCCTTAGAGTTTCTTCTCTTTGGATCCTCCCCTGCTAGGTCGGTCCCTCCGTGTATTTCCGTAGCTTCTATTCACGCTTTGGATCCTCCCCTGCTAGGCTTTCGTCGGAGTCTCCAAGGGTTGCCCTTACAGCAACATGCAACCACCCTTTGCTATCATTGGAGACCGGCCACTCATCAATGCCTTCAAGACACTGCAGCCGAATATGCATGTGCACTCACCCGACACACTCACACACAATATCCACATCATATTTGCCATCATGCAGCCCGAAGTAAAATGGTATCTGGCAGTATGTCGGTTGCTTTCCCCCTGTGAATTCGAGCTCAAACTCTTTCAGACAGCCCCTGGTGTCTTCCATGCCATGCTCGACGGTTGGACATCTCCAAATGCCCTCGCCATGGTTGGACTGCTTGTTCAGTTTGTGAAGAACAACAAGCAGCATTCACTTCTGCCCAACATGATCCCTTCCTCCTCACAGTCACTAGCTTTGATATTGGAATAGACTGAACATGCATCATAGCGGCGAGAATCTGGCCAATACGGTCTTCAAATGTTTCCAGCAGTTTGAGATTGAGAAGAGGGTGCAAAGCCTCGATATATTTGTTTATTTATTATTTTCTATTTATTCTTTTATTTATTTATTATTTTAATGCAAGAAAATTCATCATATACAACATACATGCCAACATATAGTGAAAATCAGAATATAAGGATGGAACTTAAGTTCACAAGCCAGACTTAAGAGGATCTTTGGTATGACCAGTAGAACTTAAGATAAGCTAATTTTATTTCACCACGCGGAGCCCCCGAAGACGTCCGCGGGGTGGTCCCTTTGATGAGCTTTGCCCGCACCAAGGCTTTGTATTGGCGGAAAGCCTGAGTGCGCCAGCCCAGGTAGTCACGGAGGTCTGGGGGGTCGTTCGAAGACGTGATGCCGTTGTTGATCAGGGGGTCAAGTCCATGGCGGTACTTGGTCACCTTAACCAACGCGTCTTCGAATCCGGCAAGGTCCATTAGGTCCTCGAAGTCGTCGGTGTATCCGTAGACGTCCCGCGTTCCCATATGATAACCCGCGCTCTCCAACTTGGCAAGTGCAAGGTCCTGCCCGTTCTCCTCAACGAACCGAAGGCGAAACTCGGAGAGGAATAGGTTCCACCGAGGGAAGGGGAAGGGGGTTTTGCTCCCATGACGCTCTGCCCACTGCTGAGCAGGTCCCTCCGCCATATAGGACATGGCGTAGCGGACGGCCTTTTCTTCGCTCGGCTCTCCGTTGACCACGAAGGCTTCCGGGGCAAGCCGGGCGTAAGTCTTGACCGCGTATAGGAAGGCGCAGCCGCGTTTGCGATCTCCGTTAAACGCAAACGGGGGGTTTGGTCGTAAGACCAGTTTTGAGGCGACAGTAATATCGCCAAATAACGCATCCGCGTCGGGGGCATTCGGAGATGCCGAAGGCGGTTCAGGAGCTGCCGAAGGTGGTGCGGCAGCGGAAGCCTGGGAAGCAAGGTGGGTGAGGATATTGGTGAGGTTGTCTAGTTTCGCCTCAAGTGCGTCCATGCGCGCGTCAGCGTCCGGAGCAGCTCCGGTAGACATAGCGGGCGTAAAGACGACAAGAGCAGAGGAGGAGGGGTCAAGTGGCAGGGGCGGTGACGAGGGGGGTACGGACTCGTACTCCAAGCCTGAATCAGCGCCAAATCTGGCAATCTTGACCGGTTAATCCCGTAGAGAGTTTCTTCTGCTGTAAGGGCAACCCTGGAGACTCCGACGAAAGCCTAGCAGGGGAGGATCCAAAGCGTGAATAAAAGCTACGGAAATACACGGAGGGACCGACCTAGCAGGGGAGGATCCAAAGAGAAGAAACTCTAAGGGTCCGCCTGCTAGGGCGCCAACTATATACTGGTCGTCCGTAACTGCCGACGTAGAGCGCAGAAGGTCTGAGCGGCGTCACAGCCTCTGTCCCAAGGTGATCGTTGGGAGGGTCTTGACGGATCGGTGATTGTGCAGGCAAAGGAGGCCATGGATGATGGTCGGGGTGGGTCGGAGCATCCGAGGGGGCGCCGGTCGGATGCGCCTCAGATGCGTTCGGAGGGTCCGAAGGAGGCCGAAGCGGGGGTTCCCCTGACAGCGAAACGATACCTTACAAATTATGCACATGGACCATCATTCTGTTGTGGCGATTTACCTGATCTTATCATTTTCTGTTTTAGTATTTATATCTCTGTCCTGTATTTGAGCGATTCACGGATTGCCCCGCGTTACTAGGTGCATCTGGGGATCTAGCTTGTCAATATCATCCTGCTAGCTCTTTCATTCAAGTAAAAAGGCATTGTGATCGAAGAGTTGAGGGTTCCGGTTGCCGTATAAAAGGGTTTCGGTTGGCGTACACTTGGTTTCGGTTGGCGGTCGAGAGTTTAAAGCAGTTAGTTCCTGACTTGAGACGACTCCTTGGGTTTAAGGCAGTTAGTTCCTGATCCAAACGAGTATAAACGGTTATGGGCATCGTATTGGCGCTTTCCTATTGCGGGTTTTCGTCGATAGTACGCTTAAGGACAACCACAAAACGAATCTTTAACAAGATTTCATTCGATCTACCCTACAACCTTGCACACCCGTGTACAGGCTCTGTTCCCAGGGTTCTGCACTCGTATTAGGAGACGGTTATTGGTGGTTGTTGGACATTTGGAACGGTGTTATACAATTATCACTCAGACAGAACGACTAATTGTTGTTTTGTTGTTGGGTTTTAGTTGTGTAGTGTCGGTCACATCTCCGGTCTCCCCACCCGTCATCCACCCTCATCACCGTATCTAGTGGTCCCAAGTTGTTGACTTCTATAGCCACCCATTTCTGGGAGTCTCTCTCTGAAGTCAACATCAGGGATCACCAATGCCATCAGAGACCTCTCCGGATGTGGATGTGTTGTAATATTACTTACTCTAGCAAACTCCGGGTGGATCATTCAGCCCGACACTGACTGATCCCAATCAGACTTCAGTAGAACATTCTAGAATATTCATTGGTAGTATAAAACTGTGTACTACTTTACAGAATATTCTTGAACTTCTCTCCTGTTATTTCAACAGGGTCAGGGTCAGCCTTCTGAGACCCGGACCCGTGCTCAACCCTCTTAGACTAGGTTGAAATCTGAAAGCATTTTTTGGATCTTTTTTTATGTTCAAAAAGGCTCAATTGTCATCCAATCTGGGCCCTTTTTTCCACTTTTATTTCCCTCAAATATGCCCAGAAATCTGGGACTTTTTTTTTTTGCATGGATATCTAGGTGACAAAAACGGTAAACATTATTGATAGCTTCATTTCCCTCAATAAAATTTTTTAAAAAAACCCACTTTTGTTCCAAATCCTCAGGGTGAATGGGACAATGTCTTATGTGGGGACGGCCTTTCATGGAGCAGCTGCCGTTCCACGTCGAGCACGGTGCGTTTACAGTTTCCGGCTGGTTCACGGGCTCACCAGACGGTCAATGCGCTCATTGGCGTGGGTATCGCTGCGCAAATTCACCCCAAAGTCTGCCCCTGCCCTTGCCGCTCACCTAGACAGCCTCACGAGCTGGCCTCGGGAATCGCTCCTCAAAGCACGTCTGTCCTGCCCCGCCGTCCTTCCCAGTGATGGTTTCCACCACAGGTCCTCGGCCCTCGAACTGATGCACCTGTCGGGGGTGTCCAAGACGCTGCAAGAACTGTGCGCGAATGCGACCTTTACAGCGTCAGTCGTCAATGCGATCACGGCCTGTCCCGCGCTAGACTGATGGCCGGACTCGAGGCCCGATTCTCCGAAAGTCGCGGAGGAGCTCACGCGGCTTGGCAGAATCAAGCTGGGGGGCGTTTCGGGCGGGCATTGTAGTTGTTGCTATGGTCGGATCAGAGGGTGAGAGCGCAATTTGCAAGAATTTGCAAATCAAGCGGCACCGCTTCCGCCCCGCGTCCGCCGTCGGGCGCATGCCGGCATCATCGGATCGGACGCCCAAACTCATTGGGTGATGGCGACGATGTGTCATGGAGCGCACCACAGTGGGCATGCGCGCGCCGGAAAATGGAGCAAAAGCACCCGCGGTCCGCGCAGCGTTGCGTCCGCCCTCCTCCGGATCAACGACAGCGCGTCAGTTTCACCACAGTTTTGACTTTTAACCTTTCGCTTTCGTTCTTGGCATCAATATTCTTTCGCACGAAGCGCTGTACGCATTATTGTCCAGGCCCGCCTCCGCTCGAGCCCTGGGGCTGGGGCGTGAAGTATCAATGATGATGTTGAAGTATCAATGATGATGTTCCTGCCCGACTTAGCACAGTCCGTCGTGTTCGCGAAAGACGAGTCGCCGAGATCATAGAGAAACGGCGCACCCCGAGTCCGCCGTCGTGCCCATGCCGGCATTATCTGGTTCCTTGCGAGTGCAGTGCAACAAGCAGATCCTCCGATCATTGCTACCGGGCTCCGCTTCGTCGCGAACTGAGCACAATAGTTGTTGCGGTATGTTGCGACGGCAGTCGCAATTGCTGGCGACCCAGTGCTGCGATTTGCGATCCGGAGAAGTGCGCAATGTCGTTCACCGTGGGCCGTAGCAGTTTAAATAGCAGAACCGGGGTGCCAGTGGCTCTTCCCAATCACGAAACATGCATTTCTCTCTCACCACCACTCTCTCCGCGCTCCTCCTCGCCTCCTCCGCCTACGGAGCCGCAGTTGTCAACTGGCACCTTGGGGCAGGCTGCACGGGCGAGCTGCTCGGCACGCACACCTGCGTCTTGGCCGGCGACTGCCTCTCCGCCGACCAGGGCCGCAACGCGAAAAGCATCTCGTGGGATGGCTTCCGTGGCGCGGAAAACATCCAGAGCATCCTCTTCTTCCCGTCGGGCGGCGCGAACGACAACTGTTCGGGCAACATCCAGACGGGGAGCAATGACACGTCGGGCTGCATCACTGCGCCAGATGGGTGAGTGTCGTGTCGCTCTGCTTGCGCTATCGGCTGACGCGGAATGTGTATAGCTTCGACTGGCAGAGTGTCCGGCTTGCCTAAACCCCGCATGAGCGTCACGACATAACGTCTTGTATGAGCGTAATTACTTTAACCTCTTGTACATCGTTCATTTTGGCAAACCCAAAGAAAGGGCATTTTGCGAATCGAATTGCCATGAACTTTCAGCGAACTATGCCGTTGGGGATGGGTTGACTGTTTCATCATTAATAGATTAGTTCAATGAAAGACGTACTTACTTCAACTTCTTGGCGGTGGAGTGACCCAGAGCCCCTCCTTGTGCAAGCTCTCCGAACTCTCCTGCCCATCCACATACGCTCGATGGACACAAACCGGTGAATGAGCTGCGCCGACAGTGAAAGGACGGCCACACACCAATCCGGCGACCACAGCCACAGCATGCTCGCGTCCTTACTTCCCGCAGAAGCCGCGCTCGGACGTCGCGGCGCGCTCTTCAAGTTCCAGCGTATCGCGGTCCATCACCGCCCTGTCCACCCTGGAGTGACGTCAGCTCTGCCTAGCGGCGGACAGCAAGCTGGTAAGCTCACCGGATGTCCGCCTTCCCCTGCCCAATCTTCAGCGTTTCGCTGTGCCCACCGAGGGTCACCGACCCGCCGTAGCCGCCAACCTTGCGGCAGATCGAGCACCTACCGAGCTGCCCATCGCCGACTCGCGCAACTTACGGACGGTAAGTGCACTTGGTAGGCCCATCGCTGTTGCTGTCGACGGTGAAGCGCACCGCGCCGCAGTAGCCCGAGCCATTCAGGAGGACGGGCATCGTGCAATGTGTGATGTGGCAAGAAGGCGGTGCTAGCATGTGATCCGGCGATTATGTCAACTCTTATTACGAAACTTGGATTGGCTGAGACGATTACGAGAATCAATGGTCGGATAATGGATGGGACCCTATGGTGCAGGATTTAACTCTGGATTGAATCCCTGTTCAGCTGTTTTGAAACAGGGATTCAATGCTTCAGGCAAAAACACTTGTTTTAAAACAGCAAGGGAGTGGGAAAAGTCAGTGTGCAGACATTCAAAAGGGGAAAATATATCCATGATAGGTGAAAACTAACTAAATGTGCAAATTTAAATAGTTGGATGTACTAATGAGGGTTATGCAATATTATTAATCGTTAATATCAGCAACTTTAGGCTAAAAACTAGGTTCAGAGCTCAAAATTGCCTGTTTAGGTAATTTAATGCATCCCTGTTTTGAAACTGGTGCTTAAATACCCCAGGTATTGAAAACAGGATGTAAATGTAATCCTCCACCCTAGTCCGATGAGCGTCGTTGGGGAAAACAGGCTATGATTGTCACTGTCTGGCCTGGCAGCACTAGTGCCAATTATGATTATGAATACAAAATTTTCATAATATATTATTCATAGTCATAAAATATATTCTCCCTGCCAGAGCATATTATAATCATATTCCTATTCATAATCATAATTGAGTTCAGAATATGAACACTGACTAGGGATGCCGCCCGTTACCGTAACGGTAATGGCCGTCGATTTAACGGGCATTCCACGGCAACGGCCGTCGAAGGAACAGCCGTCGAAGGACTTTCCCACAGCTCCGACGGCACGGGTCCGGTTACGGGACGGCTGTAACGGCCGACGGTCATTTGTAGCGGTCAATGCCTCAAGGCAGCTCAGCGGCTGCCAGTGGCAGCCTAAGCCTCAACACATCGTTTTGGGGCAGCTTGGTGATGGTTGGAGCATCGCCAATCAAGCCCTTTGGCCTTCCAAGATGGTCGACAGAGATCAGCACGCGGCCCCATCATTCCCAGTCCGGGCTCATTCGAACCATTTGAGCCCAATGATTCGTGGAAAACCTGTCTTTACCTCACATTCCGTGGATTTATGGCAATATCTTACTCCGTATGGAGAACTATTGGCACGAAAGCCATGTTGATCGCCCATCACCCGGCGACCCGTAGCAACGGCCGTCACGGCCGTAATCCTCCAGCTATTACGGGCCATTGCAACGGGCGCAGGCGGCATCCCTAACACTGACCCATTTCATTCATCATTTGGCTGAAATGTTCAATTTGGCCTAGGTGTGGAACCCCACTTGTGTATGATTATATTGGAATATATTATGTTATATTATGACTATACTATATTATAGTCACAGAATATTCAAATATAGTCATACACCACCAATGGGATGACAGCTGCTGAGAAGCTGCCGATCACATGTGTCGCAGGCATCAGTGACAGCTGCCTGCCACCACGTCATCAGCTGGAATCCAGCTCTTGTCGCAAATGGACCCAGCTTGGGGCCAGTTCCGGCCAGCTATCAGGGAATGATTGCCTACTATAGAAAAAAAAATCGGATTTTTACAGCACTCACAGATAGAAAAGAAAACCAGAGATACATCATACTAATAGCAGGACTATGGAAGGGGAGGAGGGAGTGGCTAAGGGAGGGAGAGGGGGGGGAACAGGACAGAAAACAGCTTGAAAATCTTGAAGGGGTGATTTGAGGACTTGAGAATAGGCAAGGACTTGACAGAGTGCTTGATTAACAGTGCTTGTGGTTGCTTGGAGGCATTTGAGGCTTGAGAAGGGCTTGAAAAGCGTTTGGACTTGGGGGGGAAAAGAGAGAAGTGCTTTGCTGGCTGTTCCTGGCAACGCCATACTGACCTATTTCATTCAATTAGGCGGGTCACGGTCACATCGGATTTTTTGGCCGAAATATTTCGGCGGGTCACAGGTCACAGCCAAATCTTTTGGTCCCAAACTGTCCTAATCGGGAAGATTTTCAAATTTTCGGGCCGAACTTCCTAATCGGGTAATAGGTCACGCGAAATTCAGCCTGCGGCCGAATTGGACATTTCGGCCAAACGGTCACAGGTCACAGGCCCACTGAATTGATCGAAATGGGTCAGGATATGAGCGCTGATACTGCGCGGAACTGTCAATCATCTGATTGACATCCAGCGCTCGGTGTTCCAGGAGGTTCTCAGGCCTCCGGATCATCCAGCTGGCATTCTCATGGCAGACGGCTGCTGTCAGGTGTCATGTCAGCCAGTGCCAGCTGGAAAGGCCGGCTGCACACCAGCTAGGGGCCAATTGGTGGTGTATGTCTATTTCCCATCAGTGGGCCTACCAATAGTGCTGATCTTAGTCTGATTTAGACCTAGGGCTTAGAACACTTTCAGCATATAAAAATGTGAAGCTGCACTGCAGCTAAAAAATATTTTATGTATAAGTGTCTTCCGAAAAAAGCAATCTGATGGCCATGTTAATTAACATGTCACCAGACAGGGTCCGGAGACTGCCAGAAATCATTCACCTGAATATCTAGGATTGGGGATTACTTACAACACATATTGCCTATTAGTTCAATAGTCATCACTTAGGATGAACATAGTATAAAGCCTTTGATCAAGTGTCTACCAGCCAACCTAATGCTAGCAGTGATGCCCCTGATGGTCTCATGGGTCCAAGGCTGAAGTTCAAAAGCCTGGAAGGGAAGTTACCCTCACAGTCAAGCATGTATCTTGTGCTTTTAGTTTTTTCCTGCAGTAAGTATGTCAAATACATCCAGGGATATGTATACTTGGTTATGGTTGAATATATTCATAACATGTTCATATTTTGCAGCTGAATATGATTATATTATACAACAAGTATATCATTGGGTTGCCAGTGATGCTCTGAGCACTGTGATATACTTATAATACCTTACATCACCAGAATAATAGAGACGTTGCGCCATGGCCATTGGAGCCATTCAATGGCTCCAATGGCTCATTAAATCGCCACTTACAGTATTTATAGAGATTATTTCTTGACCAAAATTTGAGGTTGACTAGATAATAGAGTAATGTATTCTTCCCCAAAATCTGGTTCCAAAAAGGCGAAAAATTGCAGCCATTGGAGCCATTCAATGGCTGTGGCGCAACGTCTCTAATACAATTCTATTTGGCCAGCACTGAGCTGCTGCACCACCTTTCATGACAGCACTTGTTGCACTGCAACAGCCCGTTCAATCGGGAGCCAGTGTATTGATATTCCATTCCGCAGAAAAACACTTTTTGATAATACTTATAGGTGCCTGTTCTGCCTGTGGGGATTTGGGAAAGTCACCGACCGACTACATACAGATGTGCGCCTGTCGGCTACATTGACCCCCCGTGAGAGTGCTTAGCAGCCCAAAAAGGAAACCACCTCATAGCAAAACAGACGATTCTGGGCAACTTTCAAAAATATATTTTTGGTTTTGACCCCCTCCCTATGTGACAATTAGTGACATTCAATTCATTTGGTCACCGATTGTCACATAGGGCACATATTCTCCCACGTAGAGTTGCTGTTGACATCTGCTCAGGCACACACCCCTTGACATAGTATAAAACCTTTGATCAAGTGTCTACCAGCCATCCCAATGCTAGCAGTGATGCCCCTGATAGTCTCACGGGTCCAAGGCTGAAGTTAGAAAGCCCTGAAGGGACGTTGCCCATACAGTCTAGCATGTCTCTTATGCTTTCAGTTTTTTCCTGCAGAAACTATGTCAAATACATCCAAGGATATGATACTTGATCATACCTAGTTGAATATATTCATAACATGATCATATCTTGCAGCTGGATATGCTTATACTGTACACCACATATATTATTAGGCTGACGCTCTGAATATGATACTTATATAGTTATATTATGTCCCCCGAATACTATACTATATTGGCCAGCACTAAGCTGCTGCACCGCCTTTCCTTACAGTACATGTCGCACTGCAATTGCACGTTCAATCGGGGGCCAGTGTATTTGATCTCAGCGAAACACACTTTTTCTCGTAGACCGGTCCCCGTTCTTCCCTTGGAGAAATTTCGGAGCAAGAGAAGGTACCGTCGAACCTCACGCGCGCCCTTGTGTTTACTCGATAGTTATCCATAGAGCCCGTTCAATCGGGGCTGGGGGCATTCGTGTGCATCTGCTACACTGTGTTTTTGTTGGCTCTTCTACTCAACGTGAAAAACTCATCATTCGGTACGAAAAAGCGTCCAGCAAACAGTCGCTATGATAGAAGGAGAGACGTAGTCGGTCGGGATACATACAAAATAACCTAGATCCACTCGCGTTTCGTGCGGACGACGCTGACGTCGAGGAGCCCCGCATCGTCACCGGCCAGCGCAGCCTCGGCGTCGGGCGCCCGGATCCAGGTCTCGGCCGCTGCGGTCGCGTGAGGGGGTATGTGGACGGGCGCATAGACGATATCACTCGGCGCGACCCCGCGCGGGAGCGGGAGGAGCCGGATGCGCTGTACGCCGTCGGCCGCGGCGTCGGGGTAGCTCTCCGCGGCGACGAGGGCGGCGTAGTGGGTGTTGACCGCGAGGAGGAAGTGGACGCGGACGACGCCGAGGACGAGGAGCGCGCTGGCGGCGCCGATGCCGAGCGTCGAGAGGTAGCGCTCGCAGGCCTCGTCGGGGGCGAGCTGGCTGGGGAGGAACGGCGCGAGGACGGCGCCGATGAGCGGGAGGAGGGGGGCCAGCTCGGGGGCGTCGCACGTGGCCCGCGAGCTGGTCCGGGCCCCGGCGACGCCGGCCACCAGCGCGATGAAGAGCGTGAAGAGGAGGTCGGCCGACGCGGCGTCGCGGTACAGCTTCACGTGCGTCGGCCGACCGCGGACCGCGCCGAGTAGCCCGACGAGCGACACGAAGGCCGCGCCGACAAAGTACAGCGTGAGCAGCAGGTACAGCTTCCTCAGCCCGTCAGAGCGCCACGCGTTGTCGTACTCCGTCTCTGCTTCCAGCGAGCCCACGCCCGGCCACGACACGGCGAGCTTCAGCGCCAGGAACGAGTGCAGCAAAGCGCCAGATAGGGTTATCAGCAGGGTCGCAAATCTGCGACACGGCGTCAGCGGGGGGAGACCAAGGGAAAATGGCCACGCACTTCGGGATGGTCATCCGGGAGCGCATCGTGTGTGCAGCTCGTCGCGGGCGGGTGGGCGGGCGTCGTTGGGTGGGGGGAAAAGGAAAGAAGCGATGTGGCACGATTCTTGCCCGTCACGTCACCATGTGATCGGCGTGTGTCAGCGCTGACACAGGGGCCATGACGACGCCGTTTGCCAGTGATGCATCACACTCAGCTCAGCATCCCGACCCATCCAGTCCCGCCCTTCTCCTACTTGGGATCGCTGGTCGACACAGCACTGAGCCGTGGCAGCACAAATGGCACTGATGACTTTTTTATTCTTTTCCATATACTTATTTGGACACCATTCATGTACCAAATTAATTTTTTTTCCTGCTATATGAGATTTCTGTTTGCCACTGAGCATTTTTGTACTGAGAGTCTGAGACACACCAAAATCCATCAGATACCCTACATATTTAATCCAGGACGTGTACTACCATCTCCACACCTAGATGATTTTGAGTGCCTCTATGGGATGAGATACACCTATGTGGGCTGTTCAACACAGCACTGGGCACTAGAACCACAACTTCTCTTTTCTCATTTCTATTTGTCAGTAAGCGGTAAAAGCCTTCCTTCAACATAATATAGATATCTAAAAGCCTTCCTTCAATGCAGTATAGATATCAAAAACAGACTTTCTATTGATTATTCAGCAGTGTCTACAGCAATGTTTCAGATACCTTATCCAATACAGGACCTGTTGGCCATACATGATGTATCTGAATCTTTACACCCAACAGCCAGCACCTTAATTATCTCCACACCTCGATGAACTGTCTGCATTGCATGTTACATTGCCAAAAAAAGTCCTTGTGAAAAATCACCATAAATCAAAAGAAAATTTTTTAGTCCCAAATCTTTGGAAAAGTGGCAGATCCTTGATCGAAATGGGACAGTAAGACCCGGCTTAGGCTCTCTGGCGCTGGTGCCCAGTAAAACACATGAAATGAGTGTACAGATGAATTCAGAAACAACTCCACAAACCACCAAAACACCCAAATCAAGGTCTGTGTGTTCAGGCTCTATTAGTGTTCGTCACAGGCCACCTGTGGGTAAATCTGGGGTGACCTGCACCCGTCCCGCTGACGGCCCAGGCCCGTGGCCATGGGTACGGGTACCCACATTTTCACTGGCGGGTCGAGGGTAGCCTACTTACCCAAGGCCCATGCCAGCTAACCAGGGGCGAATCTTAAGCGGATCTGTCTGGATGCACCGCCAAATATGTGTTAATGTCAGGTTCTTGCCCAACAACGCGTCTAGGAACGTTGGACGTTGGCGAGATGTACATTTGGTTCTGTAAACGGCCGCGACAGCCTCCAGTCTTGACCGCCAACCGCTGGCAAACCAGTCAGCCGGGCCCGGCGGGCCAAGCTGCAGGCCAGCGGGTTCAGGGCACCAGGCCCACACCCATACCCGCACCAGCCTGTCCTCGCGGCCCGTCACGTGTCACGGCACCCGTGACGATCACTAGGCTCTATGGAAAGTACTGTAGCATTTTATTCAATTCAGCGGTCACGCATCACACCGGCCATAAAATGCCGAAATTTTTTCGGCGGTCACACTCGACAGCCTAGACGCCGAATTCCCTCGGCTGATGTACCATTTTTGGCTGGTGTGACCAAAATTTTTGGCGGTCACACTTGGAGCTGCCGGACGCCGAAATTTTCATTTTGGCGCCGATGTCACACCGATTTCAGGCGCCGAATTGAATAAAATGCTACAGTATATCCATGCTGCAACCCATAAGAGCAAGAGGATGATAAACAAGTTGAGAAGGGGTAAGTGGTGTGAGTGTAATGGGATTACTGATGACAGTGATGATATTGATGGTTTACAAGCTGGTAGTGGTGGTAGTGGTAGTGATGAAGATGTTAGGTTGGGTGGAGAGAAAGGAGGTGTTGATGTACGACAAACATCCCCACAACAACAACCCACTCCACAATGATCCCAACCCAAAATCAACACCAAAACCCAAAATGGTATTGGTCACAGTCATAGTCACATTTGGTATATTGTTGTTGAAAGTAGATACACCGCTAACGGGTTTCCAGCTGTCACACAGCCGGAAAACTCCCAGTGGATACATCTGATGCCCAGTTGGTTCCCGGATCAGCGCCATATGGTTACCATGTTTGGTCGCAAATGGAGCCACTCTGGGTCCAGAGTGTTTGGAAACCAGCTGGACATCCAGGAAATCACCATGTAGCATATTTGGTAGGATAGACACAAGCCACCTGATGGTCTGATTTAATTAGCTGAATGCAAATGAACAAAAATTAGATATTATTGCGGGGGTACTACATATGTACATGGGCACTCTAACTTGCTGCTGAGGCCATGGCTGTTGTGGTCCACATTGGCCGACGAGGTAGCATCGACACCCGTTGTCGAAGTTGAGCGCGAGGCCAATAGAGTTGATGCTGCGGCGGTGAGTTAGCAAGTTCCTCAAGCGAGCAAAGTTGCAGAGCTTACTGCCGAGATGATCGGGGCACTATTCGCGTGAAACACGTCAATTTCGCGCAAACGTAAGTCGGGGAAGTAAAGGCCAGTCGGAAGTGGGAGGGCGCGGCAGGCGGGAACATGCCGGTTGTCGGTCGACATTTACGCGGTATTTGAAGCACCTGGGGGCCGTGTAGGATGGTGGAGTTTGGGGCGATTCGGCCGACAAATGGGCCGGGGTGGCCGAGGCAATTTCGGCCCACCCTGGGCACTGTATCGGGTAGCAAGCGGGAACGACATGCCCTGTCGCTTCAGACTTCGAGACAAGAGAAGGGGAGGGCTGTCCCAGAAGGTGTTGAGAAGAAGGGGGCGGTCAGCAAAGAATTGAGCTCACCACTGGGATAGCACTGGCCAGTCGTTGTGAGGTTACAGGCACTGAGGGCAAAAACTAACTGCGTCTGTCAGCAGCAGTTAGAAGGGGAGGGAGGGAGGCCCACTGAGGAAGGTGTCGACTAATTGGAGCTGGGAGCTGAGTGTCAGCGACTCACCTGCAATTTCACGCCATCTTGTGAATGAGCTGCCAGTGCGGTGGTGCTGTGCGGTCATCAGCAAGGGCGTGAGCCAAAGACATAAAGCACTCACCATGGGGGACAAGGGGGAAGGGGACAAGGGGGGGCGAAGGAAAAGGGTGTCGAGTGTGACGATTGAAAATTTTCACCACTCAAATTGGAAACCGGATCAAATGCTAGTTGGCAGGTGGTGTTGGGCGCTCGATTGTTGATCACAACAAGTCATTCGACACCTCAAGTTCAGTGCTGAATGCCGGCCCTAAAGAATAGCTTGTTCTATGGGTATTGTGTTTGTGGTTGATGTATTGGATGTATTAGCTATTTTGTTGGTATATTGATAAGAAAATTGATTAAATTTGCTCAATTTCTTCATAGATTCTAGAGTAAGGGGAAAAAATAAGTCTATATGGTAGAAATGCTAGGATGTAGACAATTGTATCACCTGGATTCCAGCTGGAATTTCCAGCTGAGCAGAACTGCTGGAATTCAGCTGGAAATCAGCTGGACCAGATGTTGGGTTATATGGGAACCAGCTGGAATGTCTAGCTGGATGACAGCTGTCGACACTTTGGCAGTGTATATACATGTCCCCTTTGTTGTCTCCATCATAGTGTTTGTCACGGGCTACCGGCCGTTCCTGCTGATGGCCGCAGGGACCCGCATTTTGGCTACCAGGCCACAAGTGGCCTCAGGCACTTTTCACAGGCCCATAGACCGTGGCACCTAGGCTGAGACCACCATCTCATCAATGTGATCGCTGTGGCTTGGCTGTTGTGGGTGGAGAGTCCCCAGCAACAGCCATTGTGGCCATCCGAGCCAAGTCGACAACCGTTTCAAGGCATCAGAGCTTGGCTGGAACCGAGCACCTGGCTGGGCGTCGGGCACCAGGCCCACACCTGTTCGCGCAGAGGCCTGTCCTCATGGCCCGTCATGGGTCACATAGCCTGTGACAATCACTACTCTATCATTGAGTGTAAAACAACTCACATCCAGAGCATCAGTTGCCACACCACAAATACACATGGCAAATTCAAAAATTTCCTTTCCAACAGAAAGGTGAATGGAAATTACCTATTTAGATCTATATTTTCTCATAAACAAAATAATATATTTCATTTGAATGAAAGCAGAAACAAAAATAGTTACTTTTTGCATCCCTTTCAGCTGCAAATAAAAGTCATCTTTCTCTGCTCATGAAAGGTCATCTAAAATACTGTAGTAATTTATTCAATTCGGCGCCCCAAAATGGTGTGACATTGGCGGCCGAAATCAAATTTTTGGCGCCACCTGTCGATGTGTGTGACAGCCGAAATTTTTTCGGCCTATTTAGCGGCCCAGAGGGCCGCCAAAATCTTTTTGATGCTTTGATGGGCATTTGACATTCGGCATCTGGCTGTGGGCCCGTGACACGCCGAAATATTTCGGCGCCGGTGGGCCGGTGTGACACGTGACTGCCGAATTGAATAAATTGCTACAGTATGGCCTTTCTGCATGTCCTTCTGTCTACTAAAAAAAGGTGACCTTTTTGAGCCAATGGAAAGCTCCCTGGAAATTCCCTATGTCAAACTTCCTTTTTGGGCCACACAAAGAACTCATTTCAATGATGCAGAAAGGTGCACAGAAAGATGTTCTTTCTTTCTGTCTTTTGTTGTTGCACAAAGATGTTCTTTCTTCCTGCAAGAAACTCAAAAGGAAAGTACTGCTTTTGCTCCCCAATGACCCAGGCCTGCAATGGTGGTGCACTCTAGTTAGCAGGCCACAGGTAGCTCTGTGTGCTTGCTGGTAGAGGTATCTGGACCACTGTGCATCAATGGTATTACTTAACTTTGATAACTGTGTAGATTGGCCAAACGATCACCCATCTTCAGTCAGCAGCCGCAGGAGGAACTGATTGCGCTCCCAGCATATAGCCACATTTGTTACAAACAAAATGTTTATCACTATTTGTAGATATTTATAAATAGAAAGAGTTGGACCCTATGATTCTGCAGCAGTGCTCTTAGCAGTGCTCTTATACCCATTTTGCTCTAGCCACACCACACCCAGATACTTTGCCAAGTTGTGCTTGTGAATACACACAAAAGTGGATCCATGACATCACTATCATAACCGCCGTACTCCAATTCCAAGATAGCCTTCTGCACAACTTCTTTCAGTGTGTGGTCATGGTCACTAGCTTGCCCTAGCTCATTGTTGTCAGCCTTCAAGGTGAACAGTGAATTCCCCTCAACCATCACCATAGTTGTGTCATAGTAAGATCTTGTTAGTCAGTCAGGGCTCCCTGAGACTTGCACATGCAATGCTTTGAATAACCTGGCCCCATTTGCACATCTGACTTATATTTCAGTGGACCGCACTTCTTGCGGTTGACTTGAAAACTCACCGGCGCAGACCACCAGCACAATGGCCAAGCACTTGCTTGACGTCTCCACCAACATTGCTCTGCAGTACTGTACTCATTGCAGTACCCAATACTTGTTTATGCATGTTCAATACATGGCAGATACGTTCCACGGAATGTGTCAACTCTGGTTATTATTATTATTTTTGTTCTTGTTAAACTTTATATACTTGATTATTAATTTGTGGGAAAATTGAGAGTACTTAGTACATACTTATAGGTGTCAGCATGGTAAATAGCCCTAGATATAATGGCAATTAGGACTGGTCACATCTTACAGCTTTTGATACCAATTTGGGTGTTAACAGCAATAACCCCCAAGAGGAGCAAATGAATTGCTGAGGCCAGTGCCAAACATGTGCATACATTCACACAGCATCTGCTTAATATAAGAGTAATAATATATATGATATCATATGAACATTGTACTGGCAGGCAGCTCTCTTTTGCTGGACTGGGCTTATTACTGTTCCGCTGTGACAATGCTAATTTATGACCATTTTGAGTTCATGATGGGCAGCAGTATATGTCACTAGCCTGCGACTCATTCCACATATTGTGCACCCTCTCCCGGACGGCCTTGTGCCTCTCTATTGGACTGTTCAATCAACTGGCTAAATGCTCAATACTGTCAACAGACTCACCACCATGCTCTGACCCTCTGCTGTACTCCTCAATAAGAACATGGTGATCGTAGGCCCGACAGCGCCAATGCAGCGCAATCGTGTCGGCGTCGACACCGAAGGTAGTGAGTGCGGGGGTAGCGCTCTGTGATTGCCTGCCGGACCGTTGGGAGGTTGATGGCCGCGTGCTGCACTTTGTCATGGCGGATCCGCCAAGGGTAGCGGAAAAAGAGGATGTGGAGAGTGTCGTGAGCAGGCCCATGTCCCTCAGACCCACAACAAAGTCGGCCGTTTGGTCTGAGTCAACCATGGTTACGTTAAGCTCCTCAACATTGGGGAACATCGTGAGCACGCGACCGGGGGAAGGGCCCAGGTGAGTAGATGAGATGTTTAACCGGGTGACAGCAGAGAACGGTAGCACCATGTCCGCCAAGTCAAGAATGGGAATCAATGAGCATTGGAGAGTGACGTCGCGGAGCGTTGAGCGGTTAAGGAAGGGCAAAAACGGCTTTAAGTCGTTGCCTGACATATACTTGTTCCGTTCTATCACCAGCACCTCCAGCGTCGCGACAGGGAAAGTCCGTGGTATAGCCAGGGGCGATGGATCCGATTTCCAGCCTAATAAAGATAGCTCCTTCAAACTGGGGACGCCGAAAATCATTGACAGCGCGTCTCCGGCCAGACTGGCGTTGACGAGTACAACCGCGCTGAGCTGCGTGAATCGCGCAAGACAAGAGAACAGCGTGTCGACCAGTAAAGAGATCGTCTGTTCATCGGTGGAATCCACAGCGTCGAGCGGCCGCGAGCCCTTTGCACTCCAGGGCTCAATGCGGCACACACGCATGGCGAACGGCGCGATGTCGTCAGAGGTCCAGAAGTCGAGACACGCGAGGTTCTCCGCTTGTTTTTGACTCCTAAGCCGGTTATACTCGTCGGATTCCGTGTTCACACCGGGCGGCAGCTCGTTGGGCAACAAGAAGCCGTACGGCGCAAAGCGGAAGGCAGCAAAACGCAGAGGCCGCGCCAGGGCAGCAAGTTCGAAGAGTCGACGAAGACTTCGAGCCACATTTCGGGCGGAACCGACTGCGACTGCGACATGGTGGTTTCTGAGAAGGAAGGTCGGCTTACGTGGCGTGATTGACAGGATCACGGTCACACTCGACGGGCGCAAATCAATATATTGGATGTCCTGACACAAGGAACAGACAATGATTTCATAGGCTGGCCCCAGGCAGGTTTCGGTCTCTTCTAAGTGGGGAGGGGAAACGCGTGCTTCGGGGACACAGAAAGTACATTGGCTCGTGAAAGGGCAAACAGATAGTAGTGGCGAGCGGAGACCGTGACCTGGGCAGCGGGTACACGAAATAGACCGGGGCGTCTCCTGAGGGCTGGGGGAGCTTGAAGGCAAAAAAAGAACGACATCGACCCGAGTTCGCCCGACTCACGCCTGGACGAGGGCTCCGCGGGCGATGCGCGGAAATCCGGAGTGCGACTGCCAGGGCCCGGGGCCCTGTATCTGCACGCGAATTGTCTTCGCCACTCGCGATCGGAGTGGCGACAGTCGTAAGTAACCCATCTTCCAGGCGACGACCGCGAAATCCCAGGAAGCAGTGGCGTGCGCTTCCTGAAACGCAACGCAGAGTCGTGTCTTCCCAGCGTCCGCATCGAACAAGCAACCTGAAACGGCGGGTGTTGGGCACGCACCATCGACGGTGAGCTGGACGAAAATAGATCCTTCCCCTTGTTCAATGCGCCTGCTTCGCAGCCGCGTGCGCATCCGTGCCATGGATACATTGCGAGTTGCGAGGCAATTTATTAAATGCCTGGCAGCGAAGCGACGACGTAAAGGGCCGCTGATGGTCGTGCCCGCGATCGATGTCATCAGTCCTCCCCGTCGCCCGTCGTCCGCCCCCAGCGGACCCGGTACCGCGCGGGCGAGCGACACAAGACGACGCACTCCCCTCGCCCACCCCACAGCTCGTGGGGGACGAAGGGAGAGGTGCGTGCCGCTGCTGCTGACACGACGCGGGAAAACGGCAACCGCCAATCACCCGGTCGCCACCTGCGCTTATCACTATGCCCCTAGCGGCCCATCACGCCTGATCGAAGCCCTCCCGTCCGTGTTTGCAACGCACCATAAATACCCCCCACCCGCGCTTCTCTCGTCCACCGGCTGCGCCACCCACTTTCGTTCCCCACCGTTCTTTCTCCACTCAACGAGGCCGCGCCTTGGTTCACTCCATCCACTTTTTCTCTCCTCTACGTTTCGCCACCCGCCGAGCGACATGCGCGTCTCCGTAACATTCATCTGCACGATGCTCTTCGCGCTGCAGGGCCTCGCCGCGCCCGTCGCGTACATCTCCCCCGAGCTCAGCGACGTGCGCCCCGCCCCCCTTCCCGCTCCCCGCTGACTAATAACTCCCCAGGAGCTCGCCGTCCGCGGCTCCGCCAACGCCGCCGCCGACGTCGCCGCGCGGGCCCCCGTCGCCGCGGCCGGCGTCGCGGCCGGCGAGACCTTCGTCGCGCGCCAGGCCAAGGGCGCCAAGAAGGGCGGCAAGAAAGGCGGCAAGAAGGGCAAGGGCGCCAAAAAGGGCAAGGGCAAAGCCGTGCGTGCCCCCCCCTCCTCTCCCTCCCTCTCTCTCTCTCTCTCTGTTCTGACACGTACCCAGGCGAAGAAGGGCAAGGCCGCCGCCAAGAAGGGCAAGGGCAAGGGCAAGAAGGGCAAGGGCGCCAAGAAGGGCAAAGGCAAAGGCAAGGCCGCCGTAGCCGCGCGCGGTAACAACGGCGCCGCCGCCCCCGCTGCTGAGGAGGCCGGCGCTGGTGCCGCTGCTCAGGGCGCCGCTGCCGCTGAAGGCGCTGCCCCCGCCGCTGGCGCTGCCGAGGGCGCCGTCGCTGCGGCTGGCGCTACCGGTGTCGAGGCCGCCGGCGCCGACGCCGGCGCCGCCGAGGCCGGGAACGGCGTCGCCGCTGCTGCCAAGGGTGCCAAAGTGCGTCGTTCCCCGCTCTCTCTCTCCCGGCTAACCACGACCCCAGGGCGGAAAGAAGGGCAAGGGCAAGGGCGGCAAGGGCAAGGGCAAAGGCGGCAAGAAGGGTAAGAGCGGCAAGAAGGGCAAGAAGGGCGGCAAGAAGGGCAAGAAGGGCGGCAAGAAGGGCAAGAAGGGCGGCAAGAAGGGCAAGGGCAAGGGCCGCAAGCAGGCCGGTAATGCCAATGCCAATGCCGGTAACGCCAACGCCAACGCCGGAGCCGCTGACGCCGCGAACGCTGCCGCCGCCGCTGGTGCTGGTGCCGTGAACAACAACAACGCTGCGGGCGCCAACCAGAACCAGAACCAGAACAACAACAACAACAACAACGCTGGTGCTGCCGCTGGTGTACGTGTTCTTATTCTCTTTCTGGACAGCGTTGCTGATGACGACGCAGGCCGAGGGTGCTGCTAACAACGCTGCTGGTGCCGGAGCTGCGGGCGCTGAAGGTGCCGCCGCTGGTGCTGAAGGTGCCGCCGCCGGTGCTGAAGGTGCCGCCAACAACGCTGCTGGAGCCGGAGCCGCTGGCGCTGCTGTTCGTCCCGTTTCCCCTTCCCCTTCCTCCCTCCTCGCTGACACATCCCCAGGGCGCCGCCGGAGAAGCCGCCAACCCCGCAGCCGCTGGCGCTGAGGGTGCTACCCCACCACCCGCCGCCGCCGCCGCCGAGAACCCCGCCGCCGCCGCCGCGCCCGCCCCTGCTGTAAGTCCCGCTTTGACTGTTTCCGACCCCGCCGCTGACGCGAATGTATGCAGGGCAACGAGCCGCAGCCCGAGACGGAGGGCGAGCTGATCCAGTAGACGTGCATGCATAGTCATAGTCGTAGGCACTTTGGTTTCTCTTGATTTGTGAATATACCGCGATGGAAAGGACTGAGCTGTGAGCCTGACAACTGCTTACTATGCTGCGTGTCGTCTGGATCTGCTCTGCTCGACGACACGGAGCAAAACCCCCGCCATCATTATGATCGCCATCTACTGTGCATGGAACCAGCACTCTTTGCGGACACGACTACAACGAATACAATCACTGCTCGCCCCACCACATGCCCACCTCCATCCAATCACCAGCCTCTGGCGTCGTGATCCCGTGTCGGTCGCGGAGATGCGCCTCCACCGCGCGCCACGGGCGGAGCTTCCGGGCGTGCACGCACCGCGCGCACCGGAAGAGCGCGGCGTCCGGCCCGTGGAAGCGCCGGAGCACGGCGCGGCGGCGGGGGGCCCGCGCGGGGAGGGCGAATGCGAGGATGCTGGCGCCGGCGGGCGCCGCGGGGTGCCTGGACAGTGGACTGGGTCAGCGGATCGGCGGGGCGCGGGAAAGAAGGTGTACGTGTGCGCGATGTGCGCATGCACGGCGCTGCGTGGGGCGAGCAGGGGCGACATCGCGGCGCACAGCGCGCACGCCCACATCGGGAGCGCGGCGTAGTCATCCGCGCCGTCGCGCCCCGCGACGGCGAGGCTGGCGCACACGGGCGCGCTGAGGCGGCGCCAGGCGGGCGTGGCGTGCGATCGGGGATCGCGCCCGTGCGCGGCGATGTCGTGCAGGATCTGGCGGCGGTTAGACTCAGTGCGCATAGAGCGAGGCAGCACGCACGCCCTCGCGCCACGTCAGCGCCGCCCTCGCCGGCCCCGCGCAGCCGCAGCACACGAACCGGGCGGCGCGCGCGGCCGCGTCCATGTCGCGTACCAGCACGTCTCCCCGCGCGCCGCGTCCGACGAGCGCGGCGAGCGTCTGCGCCGTCGCGCGGCCGCGCGCCGAGAACCGGATGCGCGCGGCGTACGGGTCCGCCGCCGCGTCGCTCGACAGCGCCGACGGCCCAAACCAGTGCAGCCGCGCGCGCGCCTCGTCCCAGCCAATGGCCGGGTGGAACGCGCCCGGGTGCACGCTGCCCTGCGCGATCAGGAACACGCTCGTGACCGCGTCCACGTCGGCGTCTTGCTCCGGGAGCGCGCGGGCGAGGCGCCGGCGGAGGTCCGCCCAGAGGCCGCGGACGCATGCGTGCGCTCCGGGGGCGCGCAGGGTGGCCCGCAGGCGTGCGTCGTCGGGGGCGAGGGCGTGCGCCGAGAGGTCGTTCCGCAGCGCGACTAGTGGGGGGTATATCACGGCAAAGCTGCGTGGCGGTGGGACGAAGAGCGGCGGCGGCCCGTCGAGCGGGACACGCAGGGCCACGAGGCTGGCCGCCCGGATGACGCCCAGGCGCGCGCTCAGCAGCGCGGCCCGCTCGGCCGCCTCCCGGACGTCCCGTGCGTGCCGGGCGGCGGGGCGGATGTGCGGGGCCGCCCGACGCCAGACTGCGGCCTGTCAGAACAGAGGAACTTATAAGAAGGACGACCTACGGTTGGACTTCGCACGGGGCCACCCATCGAGCGCGGGGCACGCCGCGATCGCGTTGGCGACGCTGACGCTGCGGAGGTCGCATGCGCTGCCGGAGAGCCGTTTCGGCGCACTAAGAGCTGTCAGCACGCATCAGTGTGCACGGGGGGCTCACGTGGCGGAGATAAACTCGCGCTGGGCCTGCGCATTGCGCGCCCGGGCCGCCGTCTGGCGCCGCTCCCACGCCACACACTGCGTCACGAGATCCTGGGGGCTTGCCCGCGAATCGTCCCCCGCCGGAACTGGAAGACATACCGCACACAGCCGGCGCAGACGGGCGTAGTCCGCCCGCGCTGCCGGCCGCGAGGCACAGCGCTAGTCGTGCTCAGGCGGCGTGCGCAGCTGAAGGAGGTGGGCGCACCTGACAAATCCAGCGGCCGAAGAGCAGGCTCGCCAGGCGGCGGCCCGAGACGCCCGCTGGGCACCGCGGGAGCGCGTCGTCGTGGGCAAAGGCCCGTCGCCACGTGATATCGGCGCCGGGCGACGTCAGCAGCTCGTGCAGCGTCTTCGCCACGCGCGTGAGGTGCGTCAGCTCCAGCGGGTGGAGATGCGCGGCAATCTGCGGGGAGGCGGTCAGCGCAGGACAGCGGGGGGGAGGAGAGACGCGCCTCGAGGAGCAGTTCGGGGGGCAAGACCGTGAGGCTGTCGGCAGGGGCCGGGGCGGCGAAGACCGACTTGGGCGCGGATCTGCGCAGCGACACCCACGTCATCAGCGCATTGGCGTTGACCGCTGTACCGTCAGCGCGTGGACGGCCTGAAACGAGACGACGCACCGGCAGCCCGGTCCCTCGGCGTCAGCCAGAGCGTGTCGTCTGCGGGGAATGGGAGGTGCTCCATTCAGGCAAGACCTGCGAGCGCCGGTCTTCTTATACGCGCGGGGAGCCTGAGCGCGCGCTGTTGTCGGCGCCGCGGGCGTCGTGATCATGATCGTCGTAAGACGTGTCCTGGCGGCAATCAATATGATATCTAGATGCAGCTTGACAGCCACATACTGGAGGGAAGCTCACGCTTGTCAGCGAGGCGACCGCTCCGCGGTCGCTTACCAATCGCTTTGTAAGCGGTGTCGCCTTTTTGTAATTTGCGCCGCTGGGGGGATTTGACGCTTGCTTCCCCATTATTCCACTCCACCCTCGGTTTCAACTTGCCCTGGTGCTATAGCTCTTCGGCCGCCAGACAGAGCGCGGACGGCGGCAGAAAGAGAGGCGCGGAGATTCATAAAAAGACAACCTTTCGGCAAGTTATAGTGCCTAGCGCTGTGTCGAACAGCCCACATAGGTGTATATGCTATCTAGGCACTCAAAATCTTCTAGGAGTGGAGATGTCTGATGATTAGGGGTGCTGACAGTTGTGTGTAAAGATAGAGACCTGTACTATTTCATTCAATTCTGCGGGCCCGTCACGGGCCCGCAGAATTGGTTTTTATATAGGGATGTTTGTAAACCGGTTTATAAACACCCCTGTTTTATTTGTTTATGAACAGGCATTCTGGGAAGAGGGTGTTTGTAAACAATGTGAGACTAGTGTGACAGTCAGCCAAAGTGTGACATCTCTGCCATCAAAAGTATCCTACACTATAAAATTTAGCTGAGATAGTAGATATTGAAGGGAAACTTCTGGGCCTCACCTGGGACCACCATTATTAGTATTTCACCTTAAAATATATGAAAATTATGTGGCATGAGGCGGCGTTGGGCTGCTTAGCCTGAAGTGTTTATAAAACCTAAAAACCGGTTTATAAACAGGGTTTTGGGGAGATTTTTTTACATACTGTTTGTTAAGGCCAAAATCTTTATAAAACCAAGCCCTAGGCCCGTGACCTGTGACACATGTGGGCTCACAGCTGGACCGACCGACCTTGTGTCACAGATAAGACCCGGCCCATCCGCTCCAGTGCTGGTGTCAGGCCATTGCGGGCCCGCAACACGCAGCACATGACGACAGGAAACATGCGGACTGGAGGAGTGCTAGGAGGTTAGGAGTAGCGCCTGGCTCGCAAGGGATGTACGATCATCCCCTCTGCGGCCAGGAACAGGGGGCGAGGAGGAATAGGAGAGGCCAGGGTGTCCGATCACCCCTGTGCGGGCCTGTGTATATGATGCGCGATAGTGTACCATGTACTCTATCACTTAGATCATCTGAAGAACTACTTCTCTCTGCGCAAGGAGGAACCACCGACTTATCGGGCCTGACACGACCCGATTTAAACCCTCGACTACCGACAGCGACAAGGGACCGAGTTAACGGGCCCTTTCGGTTTTGATCTACCCTGCTCGCCGTACTCACGGGCCTGATGATCCGTCTGTTCTGTTCCGGGGCGCGCATTCTTAGAAGAAGACCTTGCACGGCCCGACGTCTGACACCTTGACATGCGTGACAATTGCATATTTAGGCAGGTATTTCACAGGATCCTGTGATTGACTCATTTGGAAATAATGCTCACAAACTGTTGTACTATGTCTAGCCACTCATTATGGCTGCTATAAGGAAAGAATAGCCATAGGATTGGACTTGTGTCCACAGTTCAGAACCCAGATATGATGCCTAAGATGCTTAAGACCATGGTCTTGGGCTAAGCAGATTCATTTGTCTTGGAGATCTGGTCTTATAAAGATGGTAATACTTTGCACAAGATGTACTCAAAGACCAAATGTAGATCAATAAAGCTCATTTCATTGCATGCTACTACACAAAGGATGTAATCTAGTAGATAACCCAGCTGACTTTGTACTTTGTACTTTGTACCTCTACCATCCGCAAGTTCACCCTCGCTGTGCTCTGCAACAGACAAGCTGCAACAGCCATGGTGTGCTGTGCCTGAGACATTCGGGAGCAGGGTTAACCGTTGCTAGGTGTATTGTTAATAAAGGTGTCAATGAATGTACAGATTATGTTATATTTGGTCTGGTGCGACGAGAGAAGCGGTAGGTTAATACATGGTTGAGTAAATGGGATAGGAGTCATACCTGGTGCGACGAGAGAAGCGGTAGGGGCTCTCTCGTCGCCCAGGTTCCAGATGAGGTGTCCGATCAGTAAGTAGATTAGATATCTGAGCCAGCTTATCTGGCACGTGCGTCAGTTTCCAACACCCCCCCCTTGACGTGCGTCTAGTCGTAGCATTTTGACCCAACGTGAGTGCATCAATCGATGTAATGGTTTGGTATATAGATCTGCAATGTTGTCGTTCCCAGCAATGTGTATCATGTCGATTCATCGGTTCATGACGCAGTCGCGAATGAAGTGTTCGCGTATGGCGATGTGCTTCATCTTCGAATGAGCGTGTGGGTTGTGTGTACATGCCACCGTCCCTTGATTGTCGCAGAATAGTGATATCGGCTGGTCCTGTCGATAACCAAGCTCCTCGAAGATGTTTCGGAACCAGAGGATGTCTTTGGCACAGTGTGTTGTTGCCAAGTATTCGGCTTCGCAT